TGACAGGTACCCGCCCCCACTTCCAGCTCAGTTGGCCTCAGCGAAGTGAGCTGGAAGTTCGGCCCCCTCCTTTCTCCTGCAGTCTCCTGGGAACCTTCACAGAAGGCTGCTGGACTAATGAGAATGTGCAGTACGACTTACACATGCGCAGTGGGCAGACCCTGCTGTGAAGCCGCAAGCTGTTGCAGCCTGGTGCCCACAGTCGTGATGCCGATCCCAGGGAGAGAAGAAGCAGAGAAGGGATGGCACGGGTAAGCACATCGCTGGACCCTGGGACAAGTGAGTGTGTGTTTATTAAAAGTCAGCAGCTACCGTTTTTGTAGTTGCTGACTTGTAATAAACACAAAAATGACTGGAACTCCGCTTTAAAGATATGGAGGGAGGTGTTTTGGAGTGGGAGTTACTGGGGTGAGCGGGTTGCTTACAGGAGAGACTATTGCTGGGGCAGGATTTTGGAAGTAATAGGGAGAAATGTTATGTTGGGGAGAAGGAGATCTTGAGTATTTCTGCTTTTGAGTGGAGTTTGCTTGCGAGAGGTGGTTTGCTGGAGGGAAGGGGGGGGGGTGCTTTTGGCACAGATTTTGCTTGTTGCAAGAGGGGATTTTTAATGGCAGAGATTTTTGTTGGCGGGAGGGAGTTATTTGCTATGTACTGTAATTGCCTTTGCATCGGGACTGCACCAGACAATGCCCAGTGCAGCCCAACAAAATGGTGTGAACAGGCCCTGAAAATGGAATTGAAGTTTGTTCTTTAAACATAACATTGCAGGGAGATGGAGTTTGCTTGCTTCTGCTAAAATAAAATCCCTTCCTCTCTCCTGTAGCAAGTTTATAATTAGTGTACACTGCCTGTGATGCACGCACCATCCAATAGCCGAAGAGGAGTAATGTGAAACCCGAAAGAATTGTCGGAAAGGATGGAGGTGCTAGAGGATGAAGCAACAAGGGACAGCAAGGTACAACTCAGGCTTGTCATTGCTGGAGGAGGGAAAACAGCCAGGTGAGTCTGCCATAATGTGCAAACCTACGCAGCACACTTGGACATTATGGCAAGTCCCCTGCAGCCGCAGCAATCTTGACCTCTGCACTCTGTATGGTAGTCAGTACGTACTTTACTCCTGACCACTACACACTGTGTAATGGCTTGTACTTTCAAACTTAATTCCAATTTTTTAGCAAAGAGAAGGCTGGAAGGGGCCCCATGATTTCTAATGGCAGCCCTGGTTGCAGCAGTCATTGTCCCTACTGTAAACAGCAATCTACATTGGATTGCTTTTTGGAGGCATATGACAGGTGGTTTGGAGATGATATGTTGTCTCTGGTACACTGTTGGGATAACCCTTGAAAGACCACAGCACCATTTTGCAATTGCATGCATTAAACACAATTATAGCACAGCCCCATTCACTTGAATAGGTCACGATTAGCAGTGGAACTGCTTACTGAAAGTGACCTGTGGTATACCTTTTGGTGTGAAGCACAACAACGCAGCCTCAGCATGTGTACCGCCTGTTGCAAAAGCACGCATCAGAGATGGACGCAGTTCAACTATTTTGGTTTCAACCTCCATCTTGGCGAAGGGACTAAGCATCCTGAAATATATTTTCCTGCATCCTCCCCCCTTCCCTCTCTGTTCAGCCACAGCAACATCTGGTTGTGGGTCACCAGCAGGCTAGAGCAGCAGGGGGCCCAGAGCTACAAAGCCCCCCAAGAGAGACAGAGCTGCTCTGCCCAAGAACCTGTGGACTCTCTCACCTCGCAACAGAGATAAGGCAGCTTTTCCCAGGAATTGAAAGAGATTGTAACCTCATAAAACCTAGCAGCATAGGTGACAGAATTAAATGAACATTCCTCAAGTCAGTTTTTCCCCTATGGTTCATATCTTGCAATATGGAAGACTTACATAAAAACCAGGCACCTCGTCAGATGGCCAACGCACAGACGGACGTTCTGAAAGGCCTCTCCATTCGTTTTGCACACTCAGGGAAGCAGAAACATAGATCTCGTGAACCGTGCGGCCTACAATCTCATAATTCATATCTACATGATCCTTAGACTTATTTGCATAATAAAATACCTGCGGAGAGATTGTCGCTTGTGCAGCTGGAAAGTTATAGGCCAAAATATGGATTATGAAAGATGTTGGTTCTAATTCAGAGTTCCGCCCGACGATCCCTCCCTAAACAGAGTACTGGTCAGTTACTCAGAGTCACCCCCCTGCTGGGGGACTTTAAAAAAACAGGCTAGCAGGCCTAAAGAGTAAGCTGAAGACATCTCCCATTTGTAACATCAATACCACCTGGAGAGACCCTGTCACTCTGCAACTTGGATCTGTTTACATCAAAGGCTTAAATGGCAAGTAACTTAACCCTTTAACTTCTCCCTGTTATCTCTTTGCTGTGCTATGGTTCTTTGTGTGTGTATGTATATATATATATATATATATATATATATATATATATATCTTAGTTATATCTTTTTCTGTAAATATTTTATTGCACCTGTTTGACTCTTTTAGTAATACATCTTTCTTTCTGAAAGTGTTAGACTGTTTCTAAAGCACTTAATTGCAATCTACGAATTCCTGCCTCTAAAGAGACGCTACTGTGTTTGTTTCATCCTCTGCACAATCGGCCTGCGGTGACCGTATTGGACAGACGACTTTTCAACCATTATAGTGTATATTTGATAAAGAGAGTTTCCTCTTTCTCTGTACAAAAAAGGGGTGGGGGCAGTGTGTAAGGGTCAGTTGCGTAATTAACCTGACCCAGTAACAAGCGCATCCAGGCTGCAGGCACAGATTGAAATCCATTAGCTGGAAAATCGCTGTGTAGGGTGCAGCTGGGTGTGGCATTGTTACGCACGTCACATCGCAGTTTGGATTGGCCAGTCCTTCAGTCATGAGTTTGGTGAGAAGGTCTGGGGTCTGACGCCACGATCGTGACACAGCCCATTCTACCTGCCACCTTGGGTTAAGGGGGTATTAAAAACATGGATTAACCATCTGTTTTTATTGCTCCCCAGTAGCAAATATTATCTAGGGCTTAGCATGAAATATATATCTGTTGTTAGGTCCACCTTAATGTCAGTGTTGGGGGAAGGGTGCTGGCAGATGCTGTAATTGCTACTTGCGGTGTGGTCTGGTTTTGTAACCTCCTGAATTAATATTGTGCCAATCTGCCTGCCAGCATGGACATGTCATTGTTGCCCTATTCAGTCAAAAATGGCAATATAACATTTAAATAGCTTTCTTGCCTGCTGATTTTCGTTATTTAGTGTAGAGTGTTATTGTACAGGACTTGGTGGTGTTTTAGATTATGTGCTTCTCAGCAGGTCACATACAAAAGTGGGGTATTTGACACACTTATGGAATGTTTGGAGATGCCACTTAGTAAGTAACACGTTCTCTCTAATTGTGCAGACCTGGTGTCACTGAACAGCTATTTCATAATGTCACATTACACAAGTAGTGATTTAACAGAAGAAAGTAAAAGTTCTTTTATAGAATTACAGTCAAAACACAAATAAGCCACTTCTTATAAAACAGAGATATTTTAGGAGATCACAGATGTATAACAGTTTATTTCCCCAAGAAAAGACCACAGAATATAAATATCACATTCACAAGGGAAGTAAAGTTGTTTTCTATATTTTAATTGAAGCTGACATATACTCTAATTGCATGACATTTAACCTGCTCTGTGTACTATGATAAGAGGAGGAAAATGGGTGTCCAAACCCCACCACGAGGGTTCATTCATGGCACAGACGAAGCAGCTGGGCTATTGTAGCCCTGGCTGAGAGCCCCTTTACGCTGTGGGAGCCATACTGTCAGGGAGCCAGCACCGCTGTTGGAAATCATTGGGCCGCATACAGCCTACCTGGCAGGGGCCCTCCCACATGACAGGGGTGGGTCCTCAGCCCGAGCACCCCTTCCTCTAGCCCACAGCCAGCCAGTGGAGAAGAAGGAGGCAGTGTGAACTGTATGCCAGTGTTTCTCAACCTTTTTTCAGTTAAGGCACTCTTTAAAATTACAGACTCTCCCGAGGCATCCTTTAAGATTATGGACAGTCCCGAGGCACACTTTAAAATTAAGGACAGTCCCGAGGCACCCTTTAAATTATGGACAGTCCCAAGGCACCCTTTAAAATTAAGGACAGTCCCGAGGCACCCTTTAAAATTACGGACAGTCCCGAGGCACCCTTTAAAATAATGGACACTCCCGAGGCACCCTTTAAAATTATGGACAGTACCGAAGCACCCTTTAAAATTACGGACAGTCCAGAGGCACCCTTTAAAATTATGGACAGTCTTAAGGCACCCCATTCTAAAATGTGAAAAACTATTCTAATAGTTTTATACAACACAGCAACATCCACACACGTAAGGTACCCAACGTTAGAGGTGATTTATTCTTCCAAAGCACATACACTTTTGCACACTGGTACTGACTAGTATTCTAGTGTTTCTCTTCTCCCTCAGTTTTCTCCACCACTGAGCTAATGTGACCCCAGCACTGACGGGAAGGGACTGTTGGAGAGTCAAATTAGGATGCTGTGCAGGCAGCTGACATCCTTCTTATCAACTGATGATGATTGGTTGTCAGGACGCCAGCAGCTAGAAGGTCGTAATGGTGCACAATGATAACCTGTGGCTTTGTGTAACTAAAAGGCAGGCTTGTTCCACCCGCTGGCTTGTATACAAGCTTTGGCCAATTTTTAGACATTTTGCCAAGGCACCCCTGAAGAAACCTCAATGCACCCCAGGGCGCCTGGGCACCCTGGTTGAGAAAGGCTGCTGTATGCAGTGGAGGAACAAGTAGGGTTAAAAATAGAAGCATTTAACCACCTCCCGCCTGCTGTTTAGTCCAATGACGGGCGCAAGGTGGTTCTCTTGTTCTGATAGGATGTCATATGACGTCCTGCCATTCTCACCGCACATGTGCGGCGATCGGCGGTGCTCTGTGTCCCTCGTACACAGGGGATCACCGATCACGGAAAGAGCCGAAGATGTCGGCTCGGTCATGTGATCAGCTGTGTCCAATCACAGCTGATCACATGTAAACAGGGAAATGCCGGTTATCTGCATTTCTCTCCTCTCGAGCTGAGAGCCAGTAATCGGCATTCCACGGAGGGGACATGTACACTGATCACCAGGGCACTGATGATCAGTGTGCCCTGATGATCAGTGTGGCCCCAGAAGTGCCACCTGTCAGAGTCCATCAGTGCCAGCTGAACAGTGCCACATGCCAGTGCCCATCAGTGCCACAATGCCACATATCAGTGCATACCAGTGCACATCTGAGCTGTCCTTCAGTGTCAGCCATCAGTGCCACCTATCAATGCCAATCAGTGCACCTATCAGTGCTACCAATCAGTGCCACCTATCAGTGGCAGTCAGTGCCACCTATCAGTGCGCATCTGTGCCGCCTATCATTGCCAGTCAGTGCCACCTAACAGTGCCAGTCAGTGCCGCCTAACAGTGCCAGTCAGTGCCGCCTATCAGTGCCGCCTATCAGTACCACATATCAGTGCCATATATCAGTGCTGCCTTTCAGTGCCCATCAGTGATGCCTGTCAATGCCCATCAGTGCCACCTACCAGTGCCTCCTCATCAGTGCCCATCAGTGCCACCTATCAGTGTCCATCAGTGCATCTTATCAGCGCCCATCACTACAGCTTCATTAGCGTATATCAGTGAAGGAGAAAAATCACTTATTTACAAAATTTTATAACAAAAACTAAGAAAAACTTTTTTTTTCAAAATTGTCAGTGGTTTTTGGTTTGTTTAAGAAGAAATAAAAAACCCAGAGGTGATTAAATACCACCAAAATAAAGCTCTATCTGTCACAAAAAAAAAAATGATAAAATTTTCATATGGGTACAGTGTTGCATGACCGCGCAATTGTCATTCAAAGTGTGACAGCACTGAGAGCTGGAAATTGGCCTGGGCAGGAAGGGGTTATAAGTGCCCTGTAGGCTAGCGGTTAAAATATGTACAGATCACAGGGGTCAAAAGTATTTAACATGCATAGTGCAGATGAGGTGTATCTATATAATTTTCAAAATGCAGCTGTCAAGAAAATGTAATGGTTCAGAAGTATGTACTGTACAGTGTGCACAAGCCAGGAGTATGTACATAGTTCAGCGGTCAGGAGTGGGTAATATGCATAGTTCAGGGGTCAGGAGTGGGTAATGTACATAGTTCAGGAGTCAGGAGTGGGTAATGTACATAGTTCAGGGGTCACGAGTGGGTAATGTACATAGTTCAGGGGTCAGGAGTGGGTAATGTGCATAGTTCAGGGGTCAGGAGTGGGTAATGTACATAGTTCAGAGGTCAGGAGTGGGTAATGTACATAGTTCAGGGGTCAGGAGTGGGTAATGTACATAGTTCAGGGGTCAGGAGTGGGTAATGTACATCGTTCAGGGGTCAGGAGTGGGTAATGTGCATAGTTTAGGGGTCATAAGTGAGTAATATGCGTAGTTCAGGGGTCAGGAGTGGGTAATGTCTAGAATGCAGGTGTCTGAAGTATGTAATATACAGTGCAGGGGTCAGGAGGGGATAACAGGCAAATTCAGCAAATGGGGGTATACAAAAGTCATCCCTTCTGTCGCATTTGACAGCAAAAAAAGACCCATACCACTGAAGGGGGCTGCCTTAGAACCATGTACAATAAACGCAGTTGCAGAGAGATAGTGCAGGTATTTAGGGATTAAATCAGGAGGCGAGGAGGCATTACCTAGCAAGCACTCTCTGAAAAGTGATCAACTGTGAATCACTCTTCAGAGGTAGCAATAATGACCCCGGGATGTGTCGCTTCAACCATGCAAAGGGTACTGCTGCAACATGTAATTTTACTTCAAGAGACTTATCAATAAAATCAACGTAATAGAAACTACAGCAGGAAAACAAAATTCCACTCTGGGCACAGTAAACATCCAGAATCTTGGGTGGGCTGTATGCAGTATGGCAAACCCACTGTTCAGAGCCCAGGCCCAGTTTTCCTCCCTACCCCCAACCCTTTGGAGCTGGGAGCCTGGGGACCGGCTAGGAGCTTTGCACCTCTAAGACCTCCGCTCCTATTCCTTCCCCCTGGGCACTGAGTTGGGCAGCAGGAGCCGAGGGGCAGAAAGAGAACTAGTTAACCACTTTTAGGTTTAAGCAGATTAATCTGCAGCTGCACTTGCTGACAATTACATGAAAGTTCCAACCTCTTCTATATCAATACACCAGCGCGGTTGGGACTTTAATGTAATTGTCAGTAATTGCGGCTGCAGATTACTCTGCTTAAACTCAAAAGTGGTTAATTAGTTCTCTTTCTGCCTCCTGGCCCACAAATGCTAAGGCGTGGGACTTGGGGAAGTGCTTTTTTAAAACAGCTGCAGAGCCCGAAGGATTGGTATATCGGTACCCATAATTTGGGAGTCCCCTCTATGTCTATGTGCCCCCCCTGCTGAATTGCTAGGGCCGGGTCCCTTGCAGGAGGGCTGGTGGTACCCACTTTTTGGTGGAGAGCAGAGCTATGTGGAACAAATGTGAGCATGTGCTGAGAAGGAGATGGCAGAACAAAGATGTTCATGTGCTGAGAAGACCTGGCATAGTTGCCAATACTGTATATGGCTGTGTTCGTTTGCACAGGAGTGCGTTCATCAGCATTGATGCGTGCACATGTGCTCTTGTGCATGTTGATGCACATCTGCTGCTGGAACTGACACCAAATGCCCTATGTAAGGACAGTGGCTGTACTCAGAGTTTGCTGGATGATCTTCAGCTGCCAGTGCTCCTTGCTTCTGTGTATCCAGTATTCTTTGGACAACCTGTTACCGACCTGGCTTGCCTCTGGACCTTTCTGCTGCCTGACTCCTGGTTTGACCCCGGCTTGTTATAAGGACTGTGCGTCTCTTGTTCTCTTGTAGTATGACTCTGTATTCCTCCTTTGACTACTCTTCTGCCTGCTCCAATGGATCCCTGTGTATGACCTCAGCTCTTTTCCTGTCAATGCTCCCTGCCTACTCCCTGGCTTGCCTTCCCATGTATGACTTCGGCTACCATCTTGACTACACTTCCTCAGTCCGATCCTGCCAGCCTGACCTTGCTTCTTTCTTGGGTGCCATCTCACCTGTGGTCGCTGCCTTGGTCCCACTACATCTCCCGTGGCAATAGAGTTCCTGCCATCTGTCCTGACAAACTATCTGACATCTACCCGGTGCACTTCGCTACAAGCAACGTCCAGCAGATCTACCTAAACAGCACTCATGCTTCTTTGAGCCCAGCACTCCCTGTTCTCACCTTCAGGGGTACTTGGTGCTCAGCCGCAATGGAAGCCCTCTCCTCAAATTGGCCTCAGACCAGGTACATGCCACATACAGACCAGGTATTCTCAGCACCACAGCATGTGTCTCCACCCTGCCACTGACAGGAGAGGAGATCAAGACTGGCTGCATCAGCAGCTAGACATAGGCCCCACCCACTAGTAAATGCAGTGGATGGAGATGACTAGAGGGACCCGTGGCCCAAAAGAGAGCTGTCAGTAGCTTGCAGAAAGAGAAAGGATTGTGTGATGTGTTATGTAGAGAGAAACTGGTGGGAGGATAACCTACAAGCTGGCCAGGGGACATTGAGCTTTCTAGAGAAAGGAGGAAGTGTGACTAGGACTGGAGAGCAAGTTGTCCAGTACAGGAAAGAAAATGTCAAGGGGATTGCTGTGTTCAGAGCAGGGAAATGCATATGGTGTGTGAGCTAGGGGAGAGAGAACAGCTGATACAAGCCACGTGTGAGTGACAGCAGAGCCTGGGGACACACAGAAGCAAAGCAGCTTTGTCTGTACATAGCCCCAACACCCCAATCAGCCAGCAGCCTAGAGCTCTACCTATGGTGTGCCTTCATCCAGCCAACATGGGTAGCCATCAGAGGACAGACTACTGGGCTAAAGGATAATCTGGACTTCAGATACAGGTGCAGGCTTGAGTAAGAAAGATCAGGACATTGTGTGATATCTCTCACCTGGCTCCCAGAGATGTGTGAGCAACAAGGGGGCATCTAGGAACAGAGTGGCCTGTGTTGCATTTGCCATCTCCAAGCTGACTGAGACAGAATTCATGAGACTGATCCTCCACCAAAAAAACATCTGCGTCATTGGTGTGGTAAGAAGCCTTTGGCCACCCTTGTATGTTTCAAACATGTTTGCTCTCACTTGGATTTACTGCTTCTAGTAAAGTTCTGGGCAATGGTGACTGCATACTCTAGGCCAGGGGTTTCTAACCTTTGACTCTCCCGAGCCGCATTCAAAGAAGAGGAATTGTCTTGGGCCACACATAAAAAGCACTAAGAACAAGGATAGCTGATGAGCAGAAAAAGTTGGGCAGATCACTATAAAAGTAAAAGAGGACAACATAAAACTAGTGTGACATTTGACACGGTTGCAAATGCTCAGATAGGTGGAGTGCTGAGATAAATGATCCATTGAAATTACACTATGGGAGGCATCATCAATATGTGAACAAAGACCTATGGCACTTTAATTAGACCTCCAGTACTGAAAACGACACCTGATTTAAATTACTTATGCTATTTTATTAATAAAAAAAAATCCATAAAAAGTCCATAAAGACTAATACACTTTTGAGATAATAAAATGGCATAAGTAATTTTAATCAGCTGTTGTTTTCACTACTGGAGGCATACAGTCCCATTGGTTTTTGTTTTCACATATGGAGGATGCCTTCCACAGTGTAATTTCAAAGAATTGTTCATCTAAAACACTCCACCTATCTGAGAATTTGCATAAAATCTTAAGGGGGACACAGCCCACCCCAGCACCCCCATGTGGCACTTACTTGACTAGTGGGAGTCCCTCCATATGCTGCCGATATGTCTGGGCCCCGCTTGTCTATGGTGGCCAAGAGACATAAGTGCTATGCCAAACATGACATTCCTGGCATCCCTCCAGCCATTCAGTTTAAAATTACATGTTGGACAGCATGCAGCCTGCAGGGCATTTGTTAGACACCCCTGTTCTAGGCTGTATTTGACATCTTCCTATACCCTACACCAGTGATGGCGAACCTTTTTGAGCCCGAGTGCCCAAAACTGCAACACAAACCAACTTTTTTATTTCAAAGTGCCAACACTGCAATTAACCACTTGCCTACCTGGACGCATTGACAGACGGCACTGATCGGTGGCACTGATGGGAATCATTGATGGGTGGCACTGATGGGCAGCACTGATGGGCGACACTGCTGGGCACTGACAGGTGGCACTGCTGGGCAGCACTGACAGGTGGCACTGCTGGGCAGTGCTGACAGGCGACACTGCTGGGCACTGATGGGTGACACTGCTGGGCACTGATGGATGACACTGCTGGGCATCATTGATGGGTGGCACTGATGGGCAGCACTGATGGGCGACACTGCTGGGCACTGACAGGTGGCACTGCTGGGCAGCACTGACAGGTGGCACTGCTGGGCAGCACTGACAGGCGACACTGCTGGGCACTGATGGGTGACACTGCTGGGCACTGGTGGATGGCACTGCTGGGCATCATTGATGGGTGGCACTGATGGGCAGCACTGATGGGCGATACTGCTGGGCACTGACATGTGGCACTGCTGGGCAGCACTGACAGGCGACACTGCTGGGCACTGATGGATGGGACTGCTGGGCATCATTGATGGATGGCACTGATGGGCAGCACTGATGGGCGACACTGCTGGGCACTGACAGGCGACACTGCTGGGCACTGATGGATGACACTGCAAGCAATCTCACCTCTGGCAGCGTCGGTGTGGCTTCCAACCCAGCAGCTCATTCCCATCCACGCTGAACACGTTGCCCCTGGCCCGGAGCAGTGTGGGAGCAGTGTGGGAGCCTCTTCCTCTCTTCCGCGCCCATCCCCTGGTACATCACCCCTGGTGCCAGAGCCGCATTGGAGCCGTTTCCTCTCGTCCACGCCCACCCTGGCCCAAGAGACATGTGGGAAATGTAGTTTGATGGGGATCCAGTGTGGACGAGATCTGGATGGCCGGTCCATGCGCGCTCATCATCCTCTTCTTCCTGGCGTGCCCACTGAGATGGCTCTGCGTGCCAGCTCTGGCACGCGTGCCATAGGTTCGCCATCACTGCCCTACACTATAAGTATATTATCTGACCTCTGCACTCTCTATGTTATATTGTACAAAAGTTACTGGTTGCTAAATAGTCACTTACTATGTTAATTAAAAGAGAAATATGGGGTTTGTTGTTTTCCCCAAAATATACTTACCTAGGTGGATGCTGCATCTTTCCCCCACTGGCTCTAAGGGTGAGAACTCGGCAATCAAAAGCCTTACATCTCCAAGTGCAATGCAATGCGTCAGAGGCAGAGACATAAAGCATGCGTGTTCTCTGGAGTGACGAATCACGCTTCTCTGTCTGGCAATCTGATGGACATGTCTGGGTTTGGTGGTTGCCAGGAGAAAGGTACTTGCCTGACTGCATTGTGCCAAGTGTAAAGTTTGGAGGGGGATTATGGTGGGGGGTTGTTTCAGGGATTGGGCTTGGCCCCTTAGTTCCAGTGAAAAGAACTCTTAAGGCGTCAGCATACCAAGACATTTTGGACAATTTCATGCTCCCAACTTCGTAGGAACAGTTTGGGGATGGTCCCTTCCTGTTCCAACATGACTGTGCACCAGTCCATAAAGACATGGATGAGCGAGTTTAGGGTGGAGGAACTTGACTGACCTGCACAGAGTCCTGACCTCAACCCGATAGAACATCTTTGGGATGAATTAGAGTGAAGACTGTGAGCTAGGCCTTCTCATCCGACATCAGTGCCTGACCTCACAAATGCACTTCTGGAAGAATGGTCAAACATTCCCATAGACACACTCCTAAACCTTGTGGACAGCCTTATCAGAGGGGTTGAAGCTGCAGTTATAGCAGCAAAGGGCGGGCCGCCTCAATACTGAACCCTACAGACTAAGACTGGGATGTCATTAAAGTTCATGTATGTGTAAAGGCAGGGTCCCAATACTTTTGGCAATATAGTGTAGATTGGTCTTGGCTGCAGCCTTTCACCTTGACTTGCAAAGTTACAATATTGCAGCTGATCACTGGGAGAAAGGAGAAACTGCTTCCTCCTGCCTGCAGCAGACTGATGGCATCATCTCAGCCTGGGCAGTCACTGGAATCATCTTTAGGATGGCTTTTTAATGATAAATGGTGGATTTGTTTTCTGAAAATATAATTGTTGCTGCGTATGGTGACATGTCAGGAATTTAGTTATGCAGACTTGTAAAATTACAACTCTAGCTGAATCCTGAATCAGGGATGTATGTGTTCAGCCATTGTTGAACTCTTCTTCTAAAAATACCAGATCCCTGGCTATCATGCTGGCCCAGCAGTTTTGAGTCATTGCAAGTTTACTTCTTTTGATCTGCTTACTTCTGGGTCTGTGTCTTAGAAAGTATTAAAGCTAGGGCAGCCAGGCATACCACATTTTCAGAAGGTGGTCAGGAAGGAAGCCTCAGTATTGCTCTCCATAGAGGTTTCCTTTAACACTCTTAGGAGAGGAATAAGAGATGGACAGCCTGTTGTGGGTAAAACAATCCTCTTCAGGACTGGTGTGATAATCCAGGCCAGTGGAAATTCTCTGACTGGGACAGCTGCTTGTTCATTTCAAAGGTGTCCAGAAAGGCTCCAATTATCTGTCTGTAACCTAAGATATGATAATTTTAAACTTTCTCAGGTCACCTTCTTTACCGCTGCTGCCTTTAAGGAAAACAGATAAAGAAAGAGAATTGCACAACTTTAAACATTACTAAGGTGTGAATCATAATTGACTCATCAATGCCTCTGAACTCTTTTGTACACCTCACAGCCTTCCCAGAGGCTCTGCTACAGTGTTTATTCCTGAAAAGAAGCAGGACTGGTGACTTGTAACTGGCCTAGAAAGCCAAGAAGTGCCTGAGGTGTGAAAGAGAAAAGCACAGTTTTGATCAAAGCAGGAATTTTTCTAAGGCCAGAAATGATAAGGGGCATTTCACACCAGAACGTTTTGTACTAGAGATCTGAAATCACAACAAATCTTAAGCTGTTTGTTTCATCCTAGAAAAACAAAAAATTATAAGTCAGCAGCTACATATGTACAGATACTGCAGCTGCTGACTTTTTAATAATGGGACACTTACGTGTCCAGGGATCCAGCACAGTCCTCAGCCGAACTGGCTCTTCACCAGTCTTCGAGTCCCCAGCGCTGGCATGTTTACTTTGGGAAGCCGACTTGACTGCTTGTAGCTTCACAGCCGGCTTCCTAATGCGCATGCGTGAGCCACGCTACACTCTGTGAATGGTCCCGCAGCCTTCAGGGACCTGTGACACATCTTGGAATGCTGTGGGGGAACTCAGATCACCGCGGCAATCCGACCTGAAGTGGGAGCGGGTACCTGTCAAAACCAGGTACCCATCCCTCTCCCCCAAAAAAACCCCCAAAACATGCTAAAACTTAAAGAGGAGTTGGGAGCAGACCCCTTTTGGTGAAGTTCTGCTTTAAGGCTGAATTCACACTGACGGGGAGGTAAACCGCAGCACTTTACCCTCCAGCAGTTGTCTGTTGGTAGGGAGCGATGTGGTGTGCGATTTAGAACATCACACAGCTCCTTTTTTTAACTTTATTTGAAGTGTACAAAATTTACACTTCGTGTGATGTGCTGCTGTACAGTGACATGCGATCTTGTATGGTGCTCTCTGATAAAATTCTGCATGTCTGCTTTTTATCGCAACTCCGAGCTGCATTGCAGTGTAAATAGGACACACAGAAAACAATTGTTAGTGGCTGTAAAAACGCCGGTCACCACATGCAAAGGTTGATTTACTAAAGGTAAATAGACTGTGCACTGCAAGTGAACTGAAAGTGCGTTGCTCTATATCTAAGGGGAACGTGCAAGGAAAATAAAAAAACAGCATTTTTGCTTGCACATGATTGGATGAAAGAAATCAGCAGAGCTTCACCTTATTTCAGAGCTTCCCTTTGGATCTAAAGCAACTGCACCTGTGGTGCACTTGCAGTGAACAGCCTATTTACCTTTAGTAAATCAACCCCATAGTATGAATCATGTTTACAGCTGAATTCTGGCATAAGAAAATATAGTCTAAATCCAAAAATGTGTGTATTCTTGAATCTTTTGTGTGATTTCTGTATTTCTTGCAGTAAGCCAGTGTTAAACTTTCCCTCTTTTCAGGAGCTTCCTGTAATAAAGTCTCTTAGATTGTAAGTAGAGATGAGCGAATTATTCAAAAATTCGGTTCGGCTGATTCGACGAATTCGCCGAATAAATTCGCTTCGAGCCGAATATATTCGCTGCGAATTTAACTTATAAAAAGGGTGTTTCTAGGCTTCAGAGAGCCTTTATATTAGTGCAGAACACTGTACCTTTAATTTAAATGCCCTTGGAGTCTGCTGGGGAAGAGAAATAATACTGTCAGTCAGTATGACATGCAGATGAGTGCCGTCGATCTTAGAATCACCGCACACTTCACTCATTTGGGCAGTCACGGGGCCAAAACCAGAGTGTGGAGCCACAGTGTGGCGGTGGAGGCAGCAGCAATGGGAGGCCATACAGCACCCTATGACAAAATGGAACCCACCAGCAGTGTGAGGAGACCTGAAAGTGGCACATGGGCAGAGTGTGGCGATGGAGACAGCAGCAATGGGAGGCCATACAGGGACCCATGACACACTCTGGACCTGGCAGCAGCATGAGGAGGCGGTACAGGGGCCCATGACAGATTACGGGCCTGGCAGCAGCATGAGGATTGGTACGGGGGCCCATGGCAGATTATGGGCCTGGCAGCAGCATGAGGAGGCGGGGGGTACGGGGGCCCATGGCAGAGTGGCAGAGCGTAAGCAGCTAAAATTGAAGGCCATACAGAGGCCTATGTTAAAAAGTCCCCCCAGCAGCAGCGTGGGGAGACGACTATCAAGAGTCCAATGGCAGAGTGGCGGAGCAGAAGCAGCTTCAATTGAAGAAGGCCATACACAGGCCTAGGTTTAAAAGTCCCTCACAGTTAATTCCAATAACGAACTCTACTCCTCCGTGCAATCTACTTACGAGACCCTGGGCAGGTCTGGGTCCAATTTGTGGTAGAGACTGGTTTTGTTCAGCCATGCTTGAGTGAGTAATAACAGGTCTGTGCTGCCCTTTGGTGTCTGGCTTAATGCGCACAACACTGAACGTCCCAGCGTTTGTCAACGATTTGCCGTTAAGTGATGCAAACCCGCTGAACCACGTTCATGAGGAGCCGGTACAGGGGGCCATGAATCAGTATGGACCTGGCAGCAGCGTGAGCAGACGACAGAGGCACATGGCGCAGGGTGGCGGTGTAGGCAGCATTATTCTGAAGCCATACACAGGCCTAGGTTAAAAAGCGGAAGCCGTCAGCAGCGTGAGCAGACGACAGAGACACATGGCGCAGGGTGGCGGTGGATGCAGCAGTATTCGGAAGCCAAACACAGGCCTCGGTTAAAAAGCAGAAGCCGTCAGCAGCGTGAGCAGACGACAGAGGCACATGGCGCAGGGTGGCGGTGGAGGCAGCAGCAATGGAAGGCCATACAGCACCCTATCACAAAATGGAACCCACCAACAGTGTAAGGAGACCTGAAAGTGGCACATGGCAGAGTCTGGCGATGAAGTCAGCAGCAATGGGAGGCCGTACAGGGGCCCATGACACACTCTGCACCTGGCAGCAGCAAGAGGAGGCGGTACAGGGGCCCATGGCAGAGTGGCGAAGCGTAAGCAGCTTAAATTGAAGGTCATACAGAGGCCTATGTTAAAAAGTCCCCCAGCAGCAGTGTGGGGAGACGACTATCAAGAGTCCAATGGCAGAGTGGCGGAGCGGAAGCAGCTTCAATTGAAGGCCATACACAGGCCTAGGTTAAAAAGTCCCCCCAGCAGCAGTGTGGGGAGACGACTATCAAGAGTCCAATGGCTGAGTGGCGATCTGGGAAGTCAGCGTTGTGATTGCAGATGCAATGCAGAAATTCTACGAAGTAATGCCGTGGGTGCGAAGAAGATCATATACCATCGTACTTCCATCCATAAGACGGAACAACCTGCGAACCGGGAGCTTTATTGCCCTGACCCGCTGAGCAGCTTCTGGGATACCCAAGAGTTTGGCTTCTGTGGGGAATATGGTTGAAAACTGATACTTAAAGGCATGTTGACGGAAGGGCACCAGTGTCAGTGCTCCGGAGGGAATATAGCTTCAAAGCTGACACTTAAAGGTATATCGACGGTCAGAGACCACAGGAAGTGGAGCTTGCGTCTTAAATCGACTGAATGTGGCAGACGTGAAACGTCTACGGGCCGTATATGAAACGGGTTGTTCCTCTTTCTGGAATAAGTGTTGGAAATGGCCACTCTTTTTGGTGTGGCGTTTTGTCTATTTAATTCCGATAACGGACTCTACTCCTCCGTGCAATCTAGTTACGAGACCCTGGGCAGGTCTGGGTCCAATTTGTGGTAGAGACTGGTTTTGTTCAGCCATGCTTGAGCGAGTAATAACAGGTCTGTGCTGCCCTATGGTGTCTGGCTTAATGCGCACAACACTGAACGTCCCAGCATTTGTCAACGATTTGCCGTTAAGTGATGCAAACCCGCTGAACCACGTTCATGAGGAGCCGGTACAGGGGGCCATGAATCAGTATGGACCTGGCAGCAGTGTGAGGAGACCCGAAAGTGGCACATGGCGCAGGGTGGCGGTGGAGGCAGCAGTATTCGGAAGACATACACAGGACTAGTTTAAAAAGCGGAAGCCGTCAGCAGCGTGAGCAGACGACAGAGGCACATGGCGCAGGGTGGCGGTGGAGGCAGCAGTATTCGGAAGCCATACACAGGCCTAGGTTAAAAAGCAGAAGCCGTCAGCAGCGTGAGCAGACGACAGAGGCACATGGCGCAGGGTGGCGGTGGAGGCAGCAGTATTCGGAAGCCATACACAGGCCTAGGTTTAAAACTGGAACCCAGCAGCGTGAGCAGACGACAAAGACGCACATGGCAGAGGATGGATCTGGCAGCAGTATGAGAAGGCGGTACAGGGGCCCGTGGCACAGTGTGGTGATGGGGGCTACAGCAACTGGATGCCAGAAAGTGGCCGATAGGGCTATATACTGCATGGAATTATAAAGTTGTAAAGACAGCGGCCTATAAGGCTATACACACTATAACAATCATGACTTGATTGACCATTGGCCTATAAGGCTATACACAGCATGAATATCACCTTCTGCACCGTCGGGTGCGTGCTCGCAAACTGTTGTCTCTTGGAAACGGATTCCAAGAAAGACTGCTGACGGAATCCGTGAAGAGGAGTAGCAGGAGAAGGAGCATCTGAACGAGCGGAAGATGCCAACGAGCGACAACTCCCCTCAGCAGAGGTGTTGGAGCCTTGACTGGCTGATAGAGGGCGATTGACGTCGGGTGACGGAGCAAGTAACGGAGCGGGTGATGGAGCGGGGGCTGGGGCAGGGAGAACCGCCGTATCTTTATCACGGTTTTCCCAGGCCACCGAATGGCGACGCTGCATATGCTGACGCAACGCTGTAGTCCCAACATTGGCCCCCTGGCCACGCTTGACTTTCTGGCCACATAGTCGACATACGGCTACGTTTACTTCCTCGGGCGGCTTGACGAAAAATTGCCACACCGTAGGAAACTTTGCCCCCGCTACTCCTCACTGGCTGACTGCTACTTCCTCTGTGCACACCGGCACCACTACTGGCCGTGGTGGTAGGCTGCAGTGGAGCTGGTGCTCTACTCCGTGGCCGTTTGGCTCCACTGACACTGCTGCGACCCTGCTGCCTCCTGGGCAACCCACCGACTGTTTTGCTCGCTGCCAAGCTGGCACCCTCTTCTCCTGATGATGCGGAAGCAATAGCCTGATGACGACGAGGCTGCCAAGTGCGATCAGCCTCATCATCATCAATTAGGGTCTCCGCGTCACTACTAGCCCCCTCGGCTGCGTGTGGGTCAGGAGACAGACCTGTCTCTAGACCGGCTACCGAGCCACTCTCCTCGCCAGTACTTCTTCGCCAGGTTGCTGAAGAGGCGGATGTCTCCCCCCATTCCTGACCGCCCTCTGTTAGCTCTTCCTCACTGTACAGTGGGGCTGAGCCCACAGCATGCGATACTTCAATTGGTGAGGGAACACCAAAGGACAGGGGCAGGTCGAGGACACGTGATTTCAGTGGGCTTGCTCCCGGGCCATGCCAACCAACGGTTGTGTCTGACGTACCCACCGACCGTTGGCTGTAGGTGTCAGAGGTGACCTGGGAAGAGGAAGACGACCGAGTCAACCAATCGATGACGGCAGGGTTGTCGGTGGAGACACGACCGCTGGATGACACCGGGAGCACTGGCCTCTGGCTGCGACTAGTGCTGCCTCGACCCCTTCCTCTGCTGCCACGTCTGCTCGCTCCTGAAACATTGCCTCCTCTGCCACTCCTCTGCGTGTTGTCTGACATACTCTTTAATTCAATAAGCACCCCAAAAATAAAACCGGATTTAACTCTTTGAACGTACAATAGTGGTTGTGAAGCAGAAAGTCAGTTTATTTAGCACAATCGGTCAATTGCAGCTTGCCGTTGGCTGTAAACTGTACGTTTATGTCACTGGAATGCACTAATCACCCAAAAAATATTACCGCCACCCGGCGTGTATATGGATTTAACTCTTTGAACGTACAATAGTGGTTGTGAAGCAGAAAGTCAGTTTATTGTACACAATTGGTCAATTGCAGCTTGCCGTTGGCTGTAAACTGTACGTTTATGTCACTGGAATGCACTAATCACCCAAAAAATATTACCGCCAGCCGGCGTGTAAATGGATTTAACTCTTTGAACGTACAATAGTGGTTGTGAAGCAGAAAGTCAGTTTATTGTACACAATCGGTCAATTGCAGCTTGCCGTTGGCTGTAAACTGTACGTTTATGTCACTGGAATGCACTAATCACCCAAAAAATATTACCGCCAGCCGGCGTGTAAATGGATTTAACTCTTTGAACGTACAATAGTGGTTGTGAAGCAGAAAGTCAGTTTATTGTACACAATCGGTCAATTGCAGCTTGCCGTTGGCTGGAAACTGTACGTTTATGTCACTGGAATGCACTAATCACCGAAAAAATATTACCGCCAGCCGGCGTGTAAATGGATTTAACTCTTTGAACGTACAATAGTGGTTGTGAAGCAGAAAGTCAGTTTATTTAGCACAATCGGTCAATTGCAGCTTGCCGTTGGCTGGAAACTGTACGTTTATGTCACTGGAATGCACTAATCACCCAAAAAATATTACCGCCACCCGGCGTGTATATGGATTTAAAACTCTTTGAACGTACAATAGTGGTTGTGAAGCAGAAAGTCAGTTTATTGTACACAATCGGTCAATTGCAGCTTGCCGTTGGCTGGAAACTGTACGTTTAGGTCACTGGAATGCACTAATCACCCAAAAAATATTACCGCCAGCCGGCGTGTAAATGGATTTAACTCTTTGAACGTACAATAGTGGTTGTGAAGCAGAAAGTCAGTTTATTGTACACAATCGGTCAATTGCAGCTTGCCGTTGGCTGGAAACTGTACATTTCTGTCACTGGAATGCACTAATCACCCAAAAAATATTACCGCCAGCCGGCGTGTAAATGGATTTAACTCTTTGAACGTACAATAGTGGTTGTGAAGCAGAAAGTCAGTTTATTGTACACAATCGGTCAATTGCAGCTTGCCGTTGGCTGGAAACTGTACGTTTGTGTCACTGGAATGCACTATCACCCAAAAAATATTACCGCCAGCCGGCGTGTAAATGGATTTAACTCTTTGAACGTACAATAGTGGTTGTGAAGCAGAAAGTCAGTTTATTTTGCACAATCGGCAAACTGCAGCACCAACTGTGCACGACAGCCACCAAAAAAAAAAGGGTGTATGTCACTTTAAATTTTCGATTCTTTGATATAGCTGTGGCCCTAAGTAACGATTCTGTGTCCCTGAGTAACGATTCTGTGTCCCTGAGTAACGATTCTGTGGCCCTAAAGTCTCTGTGGCCCTAACTCTGTCCCTTAATACACACAGGTCTGTCTCTCTTGAATGACCGGAGGCTAATGGAGAATTCTAAGATGGCCGCGATTTATTGCTCCACCATTACACAGTGGTGGCTGGCTGCTGATTGGCTAATGCGATCACATGTCATGAATGCAATATGGGTCAGCGCGCCTTGTCTGCGTGCCTTCCCAGAGATCCCCGCCCCATCTTCTCTGTCCATTTTCTCCGTCGCCACACATGTCGCCGCCATTTTGGAAAATTCGATTCGTGCATCCGAAGTTTGCTAATCTTCGGATTCGTCGCGAATAGAATTTTTTCCAAATCTTCGGAACGAATTCCACTTCGTCATGTTCGATTCGCTCATCTCTAATTGTAAGCTCCAAGGAGCAGGGCCCTCCTATCCCTCTTGTATTGAACTGTATTGTTGCTGTATCGTCTCCCGTTATACTGTATAGTGCTGAGCAAACTGTTGGCGCTATATAAATTCTGTATTATAATAAAGACCTGCCACCTGAAAGATGGCTACACCACGGTTGTCCAGTATTATATTCTATGCATGAAGGTAAAAAACTTTCTGTGTGCAGCAGCCCCCTCAATACTTACCTGAGCCTCATCGCAATCCAGCGATGTGCACAACAGACTCGGCTGCCCTGGGTCTCTGCCTCCTCATTGGCTATGAGAGCAAGCGGG